AGATTGGGACTAGTCTACTTTCAATATCTGGAACTTAGTTTAACTTTATTACAAAAATTCACACACACTGGGAAAAAAGATGTCTTTTAAATTAAAAAAATTCTGTAGTCCCAAAGAAAGCAAAGCTGTACCCTAGAAGGCAGGCTTCGAAAACATTGAGGGAGAAAATTCCCTTTTATTTGTGTTCTCCTGAGGCTACACGCTATCTGTGCCTGTCAAGCAATGCCGATATAAAAAAGAAAGCAGAACAGCACAAACACAAACACCTGAAAGCAAGAAAAAGTTTCTAGAACGCTAGTAACCCCTGAATATTTTAGATACAGCAACTCCTATTTCAGGATGAAAAGAGAGAGTGATCATCACAAATATTAAAAAGCTTTTGCATAACGGCTGGGGGTTTAGATTAAGGGAAGAGTCCTGTTGGTTGAACTTTACTACAGTTACATTACCTTCAGTGTTGATGTGCTTTTTCTAAAGGAAAGCTGTCCTTTTCTGGTTTAAATGATAAGTTACTCCAAGCAACATAAAGAAAGAGAAAAGATTCCTGCTCTTGAACACAAGGGTCATCTACATAGGGATTCACACTAGTAATTAGTATATTCTGCTAGGGTACTGTGGTAATACACATTACCTAGATACAGAAAGATTAATAAGCATTCCACTTTCTGTAAGTATAAGGCAGTGTGTTTTCAGTGTTGTAAAAATTTTGAGGTGTACTGAGCACTGAAATGACTTAGAAGCACAGTGGGTTTTAGGTCAGTAAAAGAACCTTAGTGCCATAATAGATTTTATTAAATATTTTCCTTTTAGATGTGTTAAACACCAAATATAAGAATTGCCATACTGAAAGGGAAATAATGGACTATGTTACGCTAAATTAATGTTTGTTCACTAAAAATTAGGAAAAGCATGCAAAAGTGAACAGGTGGGGTTTTATACTGCTCAAACTTATCTATACAGAAAGCTATTTAATTTAGGAGACAATTGAAAAATAGGTAGTGCCTGTAATTTATCGTTATTATCATTATTACAAAACAAAACTTATCCACAGGGCATATGGATAACTTCAGCAAATGTGTAGATAAACATTTTTTTACAAGGCATTTATAGCCCAGTTCAAACAGATAGCATTGTTAACTTTCATATAACACATATGGGGTGATATTGTAAAGTTGAAGAAATAAAATCTTGCAAGTGAATCATAGAATAGAAGTGCTGTAGATGGGACTATTGCTTCAGGTAGGACTCTAAAAGGGAAAAGAATTGCCTGATAACAGATGTAGTTTGGTGTATAAAGATTTAAATGGAAATGGGAAGAAAGAGATATGGAGTCTGTTAAGGAGAAATCTTGAAACAAGTAGTAGCACTGTGACCTTCCATGGTATATAAATGAAGTGGAATTACTCTGGGTATCCCTGAAAGTGAACATAGCAAGTGCTAACAAAAAGGATACAAATTGGAAGTGACAGTTGAGAAAGAGGAAAAAAAAAAAATGGAGATAGACTGATATAGCAGAAGTTGAGATGGATGAGGCAAAAGATACAGAGAATTATTATATTAT